AAAATACTTGCCATTATTAATCGTAAACCTCAGTGTGCAGTACGTGAGGCGGTGTAATCTTATAATGATATACCGGTCTATTCTTTCTTTTGATTGGACGAAAATTCTTACCGCTCTGACGCTTCGACTTCAGTCCAGTATTTCGAACAAGCAAAATAACTTAATTCGTTGTTGTTAAAAGCAAGCGGCGATATGGAGTTGGGTAACTACACGATTGATGCCATTGACTCAACATCACGCCTTCCGCGATGGATTGTAGTTTTAACCCTTCTTTCGTGTGCCGTTTCGGTTTTGGGCTCATTAATCCAAATTATGACTTATTACATGTGCAGACAGCTAAGGATTCCCTCTAGAGWGCTTCTTGTCTATATGTCTGTAGCAGACCTGCTCTCTGCCCTTGCCTTTGGAATAGGAACAATCAAAGACTTCCACGAAAGTACACATTGGTGCATTGCTCAAGCGTTTTTTTCGACTTTTTTTTCAACATCCTCCATGTTTTGGATGGTTGCTCTGTTAATCTATCTCTTTGTAACTGTGGTGACCATCAACCCGGAGAGATCTGCAAGTCTAGTTCTATACTTCCACACTATCTGTTGGGGTATTCCTGGATTAGTTTCACTGTTAGGTAAGTAGCATAAGACTTGAAGATGTGCATTATGTAACTGATAATATATAAATATGGTTCAAGTGTCAAATAAATCGTAGGCATGGATATAACCGCTTAATAGAGGATGAACCTCTACTCTTTGAATATGATAAAGCCCTAAAAACATAAAGCTTTCTTTAAAAAATTCGTTTCAAAATTTCGATTTCCCAATCATAGTTTCGAACAAGTTACATTTGGGCAATGGATTTACCAACACGCCAAATATTTTTGCGAATCGGGAAACTGTGTATTACAATGACCTTTGATCATCGAGTCACTTACTTGAGGCCGGCCTCACGAAATGCTTTCATTATTAGCCTCGCTGGGCGAAACAAATGAAAATATAAACTAATTTTAAATAAACAAGTTTTATCGAAAAAATTTTTTTACGCGACTTGGCTAACTATTTTTGGACTTCATTTAGAAGTGAAAGTGTTAATAGTGCAACGATTTGATCAATATGCAGAAAGTGAATAACGATTAGCTAGGGTGGCCTCCGTATTAAACAAACAATTATCAAAACACAACACATTTATTGTTTGATTATTAATTATTCTGAAAAAGACTTCTTTGAGCAGTATAATTATTCCCGTGATTTCAAAATTTCTAGCTTGGACTTCTTGTCTGTGTGATTTTGTTCAATTTTCTAACCGACTAACTAATGGTCTTGTTTTCTATATCCACAGCATTGTGCTTTAGAGAACTTGGAACCACTCACTCTAGAGTATCAGTGGGTTGGTGTTGGGTCAAGGTTTATAATCCACAGTCATTAATTTGGATGCTGGTCACAGAAAAACTCTGGGAGCTTGCAGCCTTCTTTTGCCTTGTAATCTTTTCTATTGGCATTAGAATACAAATATCTCGAAAGGTGATTATGATATTTTCTCCTGAGAGCAAACTGAATATAGAGAAATAAACTGATTTTATTTGGCAGGGGTGCTGGCCAAGGGATGTTTATGGAGGGGTGACATGGGATAAGCCCAGGCCCACCGGTCTATAGAGCAAAATCTGTATTTTCTTCCTTGCATGGTATAAGGGAACGAATAGTGCTAGTATGAATACCACGATATTATGCATTTATGTATTTTATTACTGTCTTAATGTCAGAATTATATATGTTCTTTCTTTCTTTCTTTCTTTCTTTTTTTCTTTCTTTCTTTTCTTTTTTGTGAGTGCATTTTTTTATATTTTTATAGAAACGAGATGTTTTCATCACCAAGGGCGATAGGCAATAGCTTATTACCGACAGAAATGGTTTCGTTGAATGCAAAGTACATTGAATCAGTTTCAACACTAATGTCCATGTTCTTGATGAGAATAAAAAGCGGAAACATATTCCAGCTTGATTCTTGCAATGACCTATCTCCTATTGCTTTTTATATTGCTTATCCCCTTCGTTTCTTCTGGATGAAGAGCCAAGGGTGTGAGTTTGCGAAATCATAATAAACAATTATTATTATTCACAGCGCAGTAATGAAGATCTTGATTACCTGCCCATTGGAACTGCTGAGGCCATGAGAAAGATCAACACGAAAATCTTATTTATACCTTTGGTGTTTCTGCTGCTTCGAATCTGGGGATTCGTGCGCTTTGCTTTATTTATACGCAAATCACCACATGCAATGAATAGCACTCTTATGGTTCTACAGGTAAGAAGATGTTATACTGGAATCGTTCTTATTTGATGGGATACTACAGGCTGGAAGAGAGATGAATGGGTTAATGGATGGACGGAATTATGGATGGAATGAGATGAGATGAGATTGAAAAAAATGAGATAGAATAGGTCAGTGGAGTGATCAATGGGTAAATATGTGGATGGTCGGGACCGTTAATGAAATGCGATGAGATTGGATCGGAGGGTGGGAGGTAGGGAGGGAGGGAGGGAAAGAGGACGGGAGGGATGGTGGATGGATGGATGGATGAGAGGAGGGAGGGAAGGAGGGAGGGAGGGAAAGAGGGAGGGAGGGATGGATGGAAAAGTGGTACAAGACCTGGTAATATATCAGTTATAGTGAG